ACATTAGATTTATATGGACCTCAGGTCATTTTAACATAAAGGGAAATGAGAAGGCCAATGAAGCTGCTAGATTTGCCACCCCTACGCCCAAAATATAATACAAACTACTCCATCAAACATCTCATCATCCACTGTCCTAACTTCAACGAAGCCAGAAAAGATTTCAACATCTCAGACAACCTGTACGATGCAATTTGTTCATTTTCAAACTTTCAAAACATAATTTTATCCTTAAAAAAAATGTAATTGTATAATAGCACATAACCTTTAATGTTAAAATCTAACACTTGTAAAGCTAATAACCTGTGTAATTGATGCTTAATCAATGAAGAAAAAAAAAGTTTTATGTAATGGTTCAGAGGTAACTATGTCAGTTATACATTTTTACTCAAACGTGCCTAATACGGAAAACAAATAACTAGGTATATAATCTCAATATTACGATGTGTTAACATATTTAATCAGAATTATTCTAAATTAAATGTATAGAATAATATGTATTTACGTAAAACTAATAATACTGACCCATGTTGATTGATAACTCTAAAATTAAATAATAACCCACAATAAATGGTCGGTTCCTACCTAATTGGCAATAGTACTTTGAAAATCGTAATACCCATGCCTTCAACCTTTTATAATACCTAATAAATAATAATACTATCATTAAGCCACCTACGCGTTTATACAAACAATACGCTATGTTGTAAATAGTTTATAGTGATTTATATAGATTTTATGATTTTATGATATTAAAATATTTGAAAATATAAATAATAAATTTATATATAGGTGGTATAATACTTAACAGCATATACTAGTATTGGTTAAACATTAATATGTAATTTAGTATGTATTCATCACTTTATTTATTCCAGTGTATACCTATATTTGACAGTTTACTCGAAAATCGTATTATTTCTATGGACTTGTGTAATAGGTCTGTGAATTTATCTTTATATTATTTAAACTTTAAAAGAAATATTAAGACACATATTACATAAATAATGGTGTTTAATTTAAAAATAAACAGCTCTTCCTTCCTGGACAAAGTCCTAATTTCACCACTGTGACGGCTATATTGGCACAACAGGCCAAACAACAATTACACGATGATTTAAAAAGCAACTTCTGCATTTATATTAAAAAATATAACAGTGCTTTTCCGTTGTCACCGACTCTTGTGAAAATGCAACTAGGCGTTAAGGTTAAAACGAAATTCAGAACCGATAGAGATCCTCGCTGTATTATATATTTATATATAGTAGTTTAATTATTTTATTAATGGCAAGTAAGAAGTAGGTGGGTAGGTGCGTAATTTAAAATGCCATAGAAATTGATGGTGCGAATAAAAGTAATGTCAATTAAAGTATCTAATAAAAATTTGTAATTTTTGATTCTGAGCATGACTATGGTCCGTGATTATAATATCTGATACGTAATATGTTATAATATTAAAACCTAGGTAATATAAGTGTATTTGAATATATAGAACGTAGCTGCATAGATAGCACTAGTGCACTTTTCAGTACAGTTTACAGATTTTAAAATATTATATTGATTTTACAAAGATGTGCTTTTTTTCGTGTACTGTCATCACATTTTAAAGCAGTAAAAATGCTTAGATATTCAACTTCAATCTTTTCTGGTAGGAAAGTGGATCTAGGTGATATACTTTAAGGGTCAAATGTAAAAAAATTCTCAATACTTGTACATAACAGTTGGAAATAATTTTTGTTTACAATAGCATTTTCTATAGCTAAGGTACAAGGCATAGTTTTAAAAATATTTCTACTCTTTTTGAGCTACCTACCTATTTATGTACAATTGAAATTTTTTAGTTTTTTTAATTTTTTTTCTATAAATATTGATAAATATTGAAAATGTAACACAAAGTTCCCCACAAGTTGTTATTAAATGTCTTCAAAAATATTAAAGATACATCCATATCTATTTCACAGTGAACTTCAAAAAGAGTTTTGACGTATTACTTACCTTCTACCATCTAAGCCTCGCGGCAACGCCCATCCCCTCGACACATCTAATCGTGACTATGATTAAATAGGTAGCAGATATCATTTAAGTAAGTGTACACTGTTTCTGTAGCTGCTATAAGTTCCACAGTGATTTAGTTTGGTGGAGCCCGCAAAAGGATTCGGGTTGGTGCCATAGCGGTTCAAATGTGGTTCCTTCCGTCTGCTCTGGTACACCAAACAACCCATCAGATAAAGTCATCTGATGTATTGTACAGTTAAATTATTAATTAATTCATCGTCGGATAGGCCCAACGCTTTGTGATGTTTTTTTTCGTAGTTCCTGTTCCACATCGTCATAAAGGGGGGAGGGGGAATGGCTAGGTGGACATTTGCTGCAGTCCGATTTTAAAAGCAGCCCGGTTGTTGATGTTTAACAATTATTATATTTTACTCTGCTAACTTACCCATTTTTAAAATACTTAAAAAATATATATATTACGAGTTTATTACATACTAGGTAAGAAATTGTTGCCAAAATAATAAATTGGTAAGTACCTAGTTAATCATTATAATAGTGGTGGAATATATTTATAATTAGACGTATGTGATGGAGACATGGTGTGTGTGTATAAAATTGTATTTCTAAAATCTAAAATTAATACAGATTTTAAAAACAACAACCGATCGGCACTCTTGTTTTGTGTGTCTGTGTAGACAATAAGTAGTCGAATTTCCTTCGATTTTAAACTTCAGTATCTATTCCCGCGGGAAAATGAATCTGTATGATGTAATAATAATATCTCTATAATCTGAATGTTGGTGCATTCGAGAGTTCAAAATTTAAAATGTTAAAAAATTATCAAAAGCGTAAGTAAAAAAAAAAATTAAGCAAAAAAAGGAAAATTACAGTAGGTACATGGAATTTTCACAGAATGTTTATATTAGCATTTTCTATACAACATAAAGTTTTTCGAAATATTTTGACTTGTATTGAACTAGTTATAGGCATGTAGGTATAACCGTATAATACATGAAATTTTCGATTTGTATTAGAATTTTTTTAATTAGTGTATTAAAAAAAAAAAGACCTGTCAAAAAACTTGAAAACGTAGTATAAGGTTCCTCGAAAATTGTTATTAGTGGAAATTAAGTAAAAAGCTTAGCGTAATTCCACAATCTTATCATTTTTTATGAGCGTCTGAATTTCAAATTTTGACTAAATGAGAAAAAATCGGGAAAATTTTTAAAATATGTTGAGTTAGAAATTCATAAAAGAATTATGTTTAAAATCTATGATTTGAAAATTTAAGATAAGGATCTTCAAAAGTTTGTCTACATTTATGAAAAAAAAAATGAATACTGGAAAGTCATATTAAATTTTCATAAGCGTTTATAGTTCAGATTTGTACATTGGATTTTCACTCGATTTCTCATGGAACGATTTCCCTAATTTGCTGTAATTCAATAGCGAATAACTGTAGATAGGTACTTTAAATTTACATCAAATGTTCATTTTCATTTTATCATTTTGTACATTTTGTAAAATTTTCAAAATATTTTGACAGTACCTATTTGAGCTGTTTATTGACATTTTAAATTTTCATTTTTTTTTAGTTATTCTATAAATATCAATACAATTTTATTCGTAGGATCAAAAAGCTTGAAATATCATATTATAAGGTCCCTGATATATTGTTACTACAGGATTTGAAAAATATTAAAAATACAAAGACACGATTTTTTTTTATAGACATTAAATATTAGATACGTTGAAAACATACCAGAGCATAATGTTTGTGTGGACAATTTTACTATAATACAAACTATGAAAAGTGATAAGTCGGTATACTGTAATATTTTATAATTTTTTGAGGTTCTACCTACCATCATAATATAGAGGAATTAGATACCTACAACCTACCATTGATTCAATTAGTAGGTACCTATTTATAATCAATGGCAGTAGGTACGTACGTACTTACCTGAATAAATATACTTTTCATATAAAGCAATGCAAATGGCTTTTATCTACAATGTCTGTGCAATACGGTTTATAAATTAAACAAATAATTGCTGTTGATCGAAGAGAATGTGATTACTGATTATAAGTATTATATCATTTATATCGGCCGTTTGAGAAACGCTTTACAATATAAACATGATCATTTCGAATGGAGTTAACTGTGTACAAAAGTAGATATCGTTCGGTCCTTACTCTTTGTCCCTCGTATCGGTTCAATTGTTTTTTCTAACCCTTGTTTCTATCCAATGGATGATCCAAAGAATAGTTACTAGTTAGTCAATATACAACATTCAAACATCCAAATTTAAAAATGTAGAAAAATGTTTTTTTTTAATAAACACGAACATTTTAAAGTGTCACTATACAGTAAATTAATATATTAAAATCAGATTTAAAATAATTCAGATAACACTTTATTTTCTAGAATTCTAAATTTGAAATGTCACAACAAATTGCTTAAAATTAGTCTAAATATTTTAGACATTTTGCAGTGAACAAAAACTAAGGAATAGTAGAATGTTTCATTTTATTGAACTGACTTGTAAGAAGATTATAATTTAAGATTTAAAGATCTAGTGTAGTCCAAATTTCAAACACTCATGAAAAACTATGTATGTGATTAAAAATTTTTTAATTTTCAGTAAAAATACCATAGAAATCTTGTTTTTATTTTCAAACCTTAGATTTAAAATCAAAAACTATTATTTCTTTTAAAATACCGACTGAGTTAACATTAATTTAGTAACAGTGGTTTTCTTTGTTTAAAACATAAAAACAAATGTACATGAGGAATTAACGTGAATCCTCTATCTCTAAGGTTAGGTTAGCTTGTTACTTTAAAATATTTACACACTGATACATTATTTAAAATAACTTATTTTGTGCCTACAGGTGTTTATACTTATTTGTTGCATAGAAATACAAATCAAATTCCACATACTAATAACACTATTTACATACAATACTTACTCCTTAAGTCAATAAAAAATGTAAAAAAACAATTAGCTATTTGCAATTTTTTTTTATTAGTTGTTCAAAAAGAAACATGTACATATAATAACAGAACATTTTCCAGTTTATATCAACATTATTTAATACAAATATAAAATAAGTAACAAGAAACAATTTGAGCTCAATTTCTTTAAAACATACATGTAAAATATTGAAAAAAAGGGAACACATACCATTACTCACTACTCATTTAAAATATCAGTTATTAAATGAAAATACAGTCTTGAGTTTACAGTAAGTTGTTTATACATAAAACAATACATTACATTAATTAAATTTAAAAAATAAAAAAACTGTTCAACAAACATAATTATTAAACGACAAACAAATCATGTTGTGACAATAATTAAATGCTGTGACATTTGTTTTAAGATCTAATGCTGTTAGAAAATAATTATAATAATAAATTAAGTTTTTAATCATACTGTTTCATTTTTTTGACAATTCATTATCTGAAGTAGACAACAAGTTTTCTGTGTAACCGCTTTCATCTAGCAATGTCCTGTTTAAGCAAACTGTTGGTTGGTTATCAATTTCATTCACCCCATCCTTAGTTGTGATATAAGTTTCATCAGGATTATTAGATTTAAATTTACGTGCAGAATCAGAACTACATTTTAGTTTTAAAGATAATATATTACCATTATTTTTAATAATAGTGTTATCATTGATTATGTTGTCATTCAGTTTATCATCATCATTTGAAAATGAATAACTATTTGCAACGCACGTCAGTGTATTTTCTGTTTCATTGATATCTTCTTCCTTGGTTACAGAATTATTTCGGCCTGACTTGAAGTCCCGATAAACTGTACAGTCTTCAACAATAATGCTACCATTGTAACTAGATGAAATTTCCATATCATCAGTACAGTGATAATTTAATTTATCACCATCATTGGAAAGTGCATGACTATTTGCATCGCCTGTCAATGTATTTTCTGTTTCATTAATATCTTCTTCATTGATTACAGAATTATTTTGTCCAGTTCTGAAGCCGTGGTAAACATTACAGTCTTCATCAATACTACTATTGCAGCTAGATGACATTTCCATATTATCAGTATCTTTACTCTTATTGTAATCAACGGCTGTTTTATACAAATCAGAATTTGAATGCACTGTGCTGAAACTATCCATATTGTTTGCATAATATTTGAGTTCTGGATCCCTAGTCATTGGGGTGGAATAACAAAGTTTTGATTTGTCAGAACTTAAGACAACTGATGCATTCCAATCTTCATTATCATCGTCAAGGTTTACTGTATTTTCCAATAGATTGTACTCTTGTCCACTAATATTTGATAATGAATCTGAGTCTGATTCATATTCAACTGAACCAAATTCTGAAGAAGCTGTTATCAATAACCATTCTCCGCGATCATTTTTTGTAGTATAGTAGAGTTTACGAGCGACATCTCTATTTAATAAAAATGTAATTAATTAAAATACAACATAAGTATACATTTTAAAATTAAACATAATATTCATAATACCCTCTAAATAAAACTATAGTATTAAGCATTTAAAAACAAAATATTATTTTTATAAATATTCAAAACATACTGCATTTTTTTCTTCATATTTGTTATAGTTGAATAAGTCAATAATCAATCATATCAAAATTATTGTAAGTTGTGGTGGGAGGGGGGTGTAACTCTCACAAAATTAAAATAATGATTATTTTTATATTATTAATAACTCAATTTTTATAGGACAATTTAATTAATTCATAGTCTATATATGTGTACTTAAAATTTTAACTTTGACTACCTTTTTCATTATTTTACTGTTCAAATATTAAATTAAAAGATAATCTTACCCTAAGCATTTCATTAGTTAATTAAAAATCTGATCTACCTATAATACCAGTGTTTCCAAACCGGTGGTCTGCGGCCAGTCAAAGGTGGTCTGGGGTCCCATGATTTTTTTCTTCGATTTCTACTGGCTAAGAAAATGCAGTCACAAAAATCACATTAAGTAAATTATTCGGTATAGTAAAGTATAATTATATATTAGTTAAGTAGAGTTATAAAATGTAACGTGAAGTAAAATGATAAAAATTAACATTTTTTGATTAATTTTGTGTATTTTTGTTAATGAGCAAAAGAAAGATCTTCCTAATATTGGTAAAATTGAGGTAGTCCGCGACCTTTAAAATATTATCAAAGAGGTAAAAAAGTTGGGAAACACTGACCAATATACAATACTAACTTATAATTATTTATGATTAATTGTTTGAATTGAAAAAACTTGTTTTTTCAATGGTTAATATTAATTAATTTAATTTATAGGTACAAACTCTAATTTATCTATAGATGAACAGCAATCAGAAAGATATGGCATAATTTCATTTAACGGTATTTTCATATTGTCACCAACAACATATTTCTTGTTGCATGCAGCATCCGAAACAAATTTTCTCAACTTATCAATCAAGGGCCAATCCCCGAGATTTTCCTCAGGTGCATGTGGATAGTCAATACGTCTCAACAATTTGTAAGGAGTAGAATTCTGAAAATATAATACTATGTTAACTATTTATAATTTATATGAATAATTTCTATTAATGTATGACAGTATTATACAAGTTATATAATTCTGATAAATACTTAGTAGGATTTATTTAACCAACTATAAATATATTAAACAAGTTTACCAGGCAAACATCGTAATGCACATAAAGAATTTATTTTATTTTTTTGTTTTGGCGGCTACCAAGTACTAACAAACAATCGAAAAATCACAATTGATAGATATTATATTATTAACATATTATATCTATTAAAGTATAACAATATTATTACTAATTGTTTTTAATAAAAAATAATAAAATTATTAAACCACATTACTTCACGAGCTCATGTTATTAAAAAAAATGTAATATTTTCTTAAAACAAGAAAATGTAATACTGCTCAAAATACTTTGTTATGAAATTGAAACAAATTTTATTTATCACATTATTAAAATAAAAAATGTGTTTAGTATAAAATAAGAAAACTCTCTGAGACATGTATCAATATTTCCATATTTTTGCATATAAATAATTACAGTAACAAATTATCTTGGAATGCACAGCATGCTTAAGAATTAAACAATAAAACATAAGTAGAAAAAATACAACTATTATTTTATCATCAATAATGAATTATGTATTTAAAAAAAATCATAATGTATGATAAAAATATCATCCAGTACGATTTTACGTATCTTTTACTGACGGAGCATGCGATATCTGTTAGCACAAGCTATACAACAGTTGTTATTGCTGTGAAATACCTGTTATTCCAAGACCCACTCCACTAGCAACCATGGCTTGCTTGCTCATTTAGTTGCACTTTGTTAGTGCTCTGTATAATTATGTTCAACTGTACCGTAAACTAACTGATTAAACTTGATTAAAATTGTTAAAGTTTTGTATTAATTATTAAAATAAAATCTTATTATAAATAAAAACTAGATATTATTAAAAAGTTATACATAGAATAGATTTCATTAAGGTCCATGCAAAAGTGTTGAAACTGCTTGTCTTTGTGTGTGTAGTTAATGATCATTACTTATTAGACCAAGGTATTCAAAATCAATTTATGGACATAAAATAGTTATAAGCCTAACAAAAATTTAAGCACATCCAAAATTTCAAGTCAGAATTTAAAAATGTAGACGAAGTTTTAATGCACAAACAAAATTACTTTAAATCGGTTGGAGTACTTTTTCAGTTTTAGCGAATTCTTGACAGGAATAAACATTTTAAATTTTACCAATTTTTTAAATTATATAAACTTCTTTATCAAGTCAAAAATGTTTACATTTTTTTAAATAAAACCAATAAAAGTATCTTAACATTTTTTAGTCACTTAAATCATTTTCATCAAAAGTGTTTGCAGGGACCATAATAAATTGAAAGTAAAAACTTTTTTTTATACTTCATTTTGGGATAAATGTGTATAACTTTAATACACGATAAATGGGCATAACTATGCTTTGAAGTCAGCATTAGCAACCAATCTATAACTATCAAAAAATTTGTATTTTACATTATTATTTACAAAACTTAACCTACGACTTAATAAGCAGGTAATAATAGGCATCACATTTTAATCATGAAAAGGAAAGACTGTCTGTAAGACTCCTAAGAAGGCATAAGAAGTATCAATTATATTATACAACTTCAATAAACCAGGTAACAAATTAAAAATTACATCACTTTGGGATGCATAAGTGAATCAACTTTTAAGATTTTAAACATTCAAACCATTGCCAAAACATCAAGGATTAAATACAAAACACAGATTTTTAGAAACAACTGATAAGTGTGAAAGAAATAGAGAATGTAGAAAAATGTACACGAACAAGGTGATATCAAAATAAATCCACACTTGATGGATCAAAACAAGCTACAAAAGAAATTAAGAAGGTTTGCACCATACATACTGTGCAGTCTGTGTTAATTTCATACCAATAATTGATTCAATATTACATACAGTAAGACTATTTAGGACAATTAACAAAAAATATGTAAAAATAAATAGTTTGCAATTGACGAACTTTGGTGTAACAAACATTCAATACACCAACATTCTTTCAAGTGCCTTGAAATCATTACTTCTCCAATATTTTATTTGATCACAACTCGTCCAAATTTATATTATACTGACATTTTAAGTTTGTGTTTACTGTTTAATTATTGCTATTTGTTTCAGTTACTTATATGTAACTACTAATTACTATCAACTTCTTAAACAATTAAAAGCAATTACACAGATATCTTACAATAGGTTTAACAGGAGATGTTGTCATATCCTTCCTGTAGAAAATAGCCATTTGACTACAACAACCAATATTTTCTGTACCAGAAGGACCAGCTCCAATACCATCAAATTGTACAGCGTACTCTGGATAACGAGCAATTATTTTTTTAGCCCTATAAAAAAATTAGAATTAGAATCAACACAATTGTTAAATAAATGTATATTAATATATTATTATTGAAGATTACCATTCCTTGAACTGTTTTCTAGTCCATTCAAATTTGTGGTCGTCATGTCTGAACTGTGTAGTAAAATTTGGAAATAGAATATTGAATTCTACGTTGGGTGTAGTGAATACAGCTAATTTTGGTTTAATGAATTCAAATACATTGTTGGGTAGTGAATCCAGAACATCCAAATATAAATGTTCAATTCTATAAATTAAAAATAATACATTAACTCTCTAATTTATTAGTTAAAAAATTGCAACAGAGATTTACAATTCAATACATATAACTGCATCAACGCCTAACATCCTGTCATCTTGGTCAGCTATACTTCCATTATAAATATCTACTGTTAAAGGCTCCTTGCGTTCATGCATTGTTATATGATCATAATTAGTTGGTAATACCTTACACTGATTTATATCCAATGTATCATAATCCACATCAACAAGCATAATATTGTTGAGTCCCGGTATTGGTTTTATACATTTAAATAAACCCATCTCAGAACAACCAAAATCAACAACCTAGAAATGACATGTTAGAAATATTAATATTATGTTGTAACCATACCTGTTATAAAAAATTTTCAATTTCTTATAATCATACTTTTTTTATTGAACCATTCCAAATAGGATGTTCAATAACTTCTTGTACAACCATGTACCTTTGCACATACAATGGTGGCCAAAATTTTAAGCCATTTTCATCCAGTGTACATGCACATGATTGTTGACTGATAATTTCTATAATTTTCTTTTCCTAAAATTGTTAGATTTAAATTTTAAAATAGAACCATATGCAAGGGATAAAAATTAATATTTTATCTTTTCATAAACTATATTCTAATATGCACACAAACATTTTAAATTAATTTTCTATAATTTCAACATTAATTCAATTACTGATAAAAAACAAATTCTCAAAACTCTATAAGGTAAAAAAAAATATTATAATATGAGTTTTTCATATTACTACCTGTATACTCACAAATTAAAGTGCAATTCTACTACACAATGTTGTAATATAAATTTTAAAAAACTTCACGATTATTTTGATGGTTAAAATAATGTTAAAAACAAAGAATTCCATTATAAAGTTAAAACCCTTTGTGAAAACTGTTGAAATAAAAATAATCGTTTTCATGAAGATTTAAAGTACAAGCCGTATACCATTAGAGAAATAATAGATAATAGTCAATAGATGCAGAAAAATGTGTAGTGGTTAAATATTCTTGAATAAGGTAACTGATGACCGATTTAGCTAGCGTGCATTCTATCAGGGACTCAAGGTTAGGGGTTTCTTGACAAGCTGAGATGTCTGTTCTTGATTTTACTTTTATTAAAGTATAAAATATGTAATAATAAAGAAAATTGAATTCTGGATATACCTGCATCTGAATATTCATGACATAAAAAATTTAAGAGTGAATTAATTTATATAATTAATATTATATTTTTTCATTTATGAGTATTATTGTTTATTTGAGCATATTATTATTTAACCTTTAATTGTTTCAAAGTCACAGCATTCCTTATCAAAACAAAGTAAATTCACAATATATATAAAATAAATGAAATAACAAAAGACAAATAAATATTTTCTATCACAACCACTGAATACCGATAAGTTGTTGCATCTCAGCCTCCAGACTAAGATCCAGAATTGCAATTAATGATTATCCATAACAAATAATAAAAGTCAGTGAATCATGATAGTTTTCCATACAAATATATACTCTATTATGATAATAATACTGATGAATTCTAGATAAGTGAAATAAAGTAACTAATAGCCAGCTAAAAATATAATAAAAATGTTTATTATTATACTATCTATAGGTACATTATACTATTGTTTACCTCCAAATCAGGCGTTTCGCCATTGCATAAATAACGATCAAGAATGGACTTCAAATACTCCAATAAGTCAATGCCGTAACACAAAAGAATACTCTGTACAACCAGCATACTGATGTACTATTTTTTATACAGACAACGTAAAAAATTATATTTAATTCATTGGATAGACAAAATTAACAATTATAATATCGAACAATCGATATAATGCTCATAATGACGGCGTTACTAATTCCGTTAAATGTGATACAATCGTAACCATCGACCATAATAATATTATAGAATTCAAAAATAACTGAAAAGTGAAAATTTAAATACAAAATTTAATTCTGAAATGAGCACTGCACTGAACTGGAGTACTTCCAAACGCTGAAACGCCAGTGCTGAAGCATGAACGCATGGACATTGTATAATGGATGCTGATAATGGAGCTACAAAACAATCCTGTTATCAATCCAAACGGTAACCTCCGCCATTAAAGTGGTATATTCCCGGTCTTATGCAAATGATTATATGATAATAATATTATGATCTAAGGGGTAGCCATTTATTTCAGAGATAATGCTTCAACGGATTTCCATTTTAATGAACATTTTTGAATAATAATTTCAATTATTTTGTCAATTAAATTATTATAATCATAATTTATATATAACAATATACGTACATAGGTTATCAATCATTAATAATTAAAGTAAAGTAATAATAGTAGTGTTATAAGTATGATAATTTATAAAATAAAATACATAAAATTAGGTAGGTATTTTTTATTTATAGACTGGAGAGAATTTGGCATTTTATTAGATGAAATTTTTGGTTTTTATGTGACTTTGGAGAACAATAATGAGGATGTAAGAGGAGTACCTATTTAAAATTGCCTTTAGTATGGGATCGATATTAACGTAGGTACCTATAGACAGTGTTGGGTAGTAACGTAACGAGAGTAACGCGTTACTGTAACGACGTTACTTTGTTTGTAATGTGTTACGTAATTTCATTACTATTATTTTCAAGTAACGGAAATGTAATAGAAATTACTTTTGATAAGTAATTTTTATAGTATAACGCATTACAGTTTTGAATTATTTAGTAGCTATTGGAAATTGAAAAAAAATCTTTTAAAAATATGTCTATAATGTGAGGGTTAAGAATACCAATCTAATATTATATATATATATATATATATATATTTAATTTGAACTATCGCCACCATGGTTTTGACAGGTCTAATATACTGTAAATCACGAGAATAGATTAAATTTATTATTTAATTTGATTCCTCTAAATAATATGTACATGATATACACGTTTCCATGAATATCTATAGCATGGGCTATACGACATACGTAATACGTATATACCCAAACACTATTATTGGACTGGTTTATTTATATAATTTAATTTAGTTCTATTAATACGTGGTGCTATTTATCATAAAAGATCGCGTATGAGCGATAAGAACTTCGAAGATACTCTATTGTGTAAAGTTAATTTAAAAAACAAATAAGTAATTGTAAAATAAGGGTTTTGATTAAGTTATTTATTTTTTTATTTATTTAATAGGTTGGTTTATGTGGTGAGTCTATGACATATTATACATTATACTTACTTATATAAGTACAATTAATTATTACTACAGTAATTTTTTTTTCGAATATTTTTATCTCATTCGTACATTTCGAAGAGTTTGACATTTCGCTACATATTATAATATGTTTATTATAATTTGTTATTTTCAATTTTGTTTTGGCAGTGAGCACACATCCAATAATAAATGTATGTCCATCAAAACAAAATAAATAGTAATCTTAATTAACCAGAACTGCACACCGCAGTGGCGCAGTCCACAGACAGCTAAAATAGTAAAACGTTATGTCTTGATTTAGATATTTTGTTCTGACTATGAGTTTCTTTTACCCTTTTGGCACATGTCTAATGATTAATGAACTTATATAATTGTATATAAATCAGTGTGATCAATGATCGGGTGTTACACATACAACATTTAATAATATTATTCTATAGAGATTTGCCAATTTATCTAAATGACATATTATAATATGTACTTTCCTAATGATACATAATATTATTCGATGGATATGAGAAATCTGACATATTATGTCTCATGTTTATTTTTCTTGTATGAGCTCCGAGCGTTTACTTATTAATAATCGTCACATACCTATATGATTTGTTTTTGCTAATTTTCTATTAGTGTACAGTCTGTACATGATAACTTAATACTTTACTCATCACGTATTTATTTGCTGGATTTATAACATAAAAATAACGATGTTTAATACATAGTGCATAGTGCACACATACATACATACATACATACATACATACATACATACATACATACATACATACATATTACATACATACACACATACATACATAGTATACATACATACATACATACATACATACATACATACATACATACATACATACATACATATATACATACATACATACATACATACATACATACATACATACATACATACATACTACATACATTGTACACACATTTTAATATTGTTTTACTGAAAAAAGTTGGCTCTACTGACCATCAATCGATAGCTTCAATGTTTCCCTGCAACTCCTATACATCTATACAGTAACGACTGACGTTATAATACAGTGTATAGTAGCGCGTAGTTTATGTTTTAGTAAGTAAAACTCTATAACTATATTGCTTATTAACATATGCACAGGTATAATATAGTTTATATGACAAATATAACATAGAACCATTCAATTATGTAAGTAATTATAGACTGTACAAACATTTTTTTTAAATGTTTTTATCTTTTCTTTTCAATATAATTATAAACCCAAATTTATCTAATATCTATATTTTCTATACAAATACTGTTTAACATATTATTTTAAAGAACATTTATGTTTTTCAGGGATCAGGATTTGAATACCGAAATAGAGAAAAAGTAAGAGTACGAAGTACAAACTTAATACTTGCATAATAGACACGAAGTAGAAAAACAAATAATAATAGAGTGAATAATCTTTAGCACAATTACTTAACTCTAGTTATTTCTTAAGATATTGCAAACTTATACTCAATAATAATAGCATGTGGACTGTGGGTGTGATAGATAAAAAATATATAGAGAAGAAAATTCAAAAGAGACTGTCTTGTGGGCTGAGAATATTAGATGATTTGTTTATTTCAGTTGATTATAGACCCAAGGTTTATAGACAATATCAAAGCTGGGCAAGTAAGTATTTTTTTCCAATTAGTTGAAGTTAAGTTACTACAGTAAAAAATTAAAAACTTATTAAGTTAAAAAGTGAGTTGGTTGCTGAAATTTCCAAAATATCTAGCTAGCTACATGTTATAGTTACTATTAGTTAGTGAAAATAATAGCTGGAGTTGAAATTAAAAGTTAGAAGGAATTTTTTTTATAGTTTATTTATAATATACATTTTAAAACCCATTCGTAATTCGTTGAAGGTTCAAATGTGAAGTATTAAATTAATAATAATTGTGTTTTAAATTATTGATGATAAGCGATAAGTGATAACTGATAATTAATTAATTAAATATTATTGAATACGGCGGTGTCGAGGGTGGTAAATTGTGTTCACGAACAATAAACTGACACAGTGCCACAACATTGTTGTTATTGTATTTTAAATCCCATGTATAAAGTCGTAATTTTTTTTAATTATCGAGACGAGTTTACAATTGACCTTTTTATTGCCTACCACCTAAATCCAGTCAGAGTTTACAACAAAAAGGTAGTTGCGGGCCGTGTTGCGACTGCCTAGTGCCTATACATCCCACACTATCCACTATCCAGTACTCTGTTTACCATTTAAGTAAGGCACGGATTTCTTGTATCGGCGTTTAGCGTCAAATACCATCTTCCAGTCCGGATATGGTCGGATATAATCCATATACGCCAAGACGCCTTGCTGTTCCATCGTTTGTCGGTGTTGAGAATCTGTACCTTAATCAATAATCGTGCGTTAATACATTATGGTTTACAACTGTATAACATAATTATCTATAATCGTGGTATTAATTAAAGAAATGTAATGCGATAAAAAATTGATAATTTATTAATTATCACTAATACTACCTGATTTTATGTTTGTACATGTTATATATACGACCACATAGGCGTGAAATTATTGAAATGGCATTTTTCACAGGGTGTGCAATGTGTGAATAATTATTTTAGTAGGGACAATCCCTAATAAAATAAAGTAGTAGTAACTACTCACTTGACCTACTATAATTCTGTAAGATAAATCTTTGGTCTCGAGGAAGAGTTTAGACTAAAATGTAATGTGAAAAGACATACTATGACAAAATGATAAAAAAGTGACAAAAATTGACTTAAGCTCCTCTTGAGTTCTTTCCCGGGATCGAATAAATATTGTCTCAATATATTATAATAACTAAAAATTACTTAATAATTTAAATTTTCTAGACCCTGCTTCATTGATCATGAAAAAAAAGAATACTATAGATGTACCTATCTTGAATATTATTTTATAAAATAAAAATAATTTTTACTTTACATGCAACTCATTCTATATTATAGAGTCACATATAATGGGTAGATACTAGATATATAATAGGTATATATATTTATAATGGTATAATCTTCTGACTTCTCTGTATCGGTGTTATAATATGTTATATGTTTATTTCCTCCATATATATAATGACTCAGGCCCTGATTTTGATGTAAACACATAATTTTATTGAACTCAAATTTCTCAATTCTGATTTAAAATAAGCACGTTTCATTACACCCTGAATAAAATGAAACTTTTTTTTTCTTTTACATATTTTGTTTTAAATACATACTTCGTAAATATTTAGCTTTTTCATACCTAAGAATACTATTTTTTTTTGTGATAAAATGATTGAACTGGATTTGACAATTAAGTTCTATCAGCGTCTATTCATGTATGGAGTTGTTATATAAAAAAGAGATAACTGATAAAGCTCGTTTGTGAGAGATTACAATTTGTAATGTCACCATATCGGGTAGACAGTGTAGTATCTAATAGGTATATTTACAGTATAATACACTATAATATGTAAAAAGGTAGGTGGAAAAAAGCCCAGGAAAAAAATTAAATATAAATGTGAACTCATGTACTCTACATACTCTACTCCTAATTAGTAATTAATAATCCAAGCATAAATAATTAATAATTCAGGCAATTTTATATGTGGTTACTCAATTAATAAGATACTTTTTTTTACCTTTTTATTCAATGAAAAATTGTAGTTATGATTTTGTTCTGAGGGGGGGGCATATAATTTATTGGGTAAGCATTAAGTTTAACTGTCAACTCAATATCCATTTTAACAGCCATTACCTATTTTTTTTTAAAAACATTTTTATAAAAATAACTAGTATAGTAATAAT